TCTCAGCGTCCAAAACTTGCTCCAAATTGAACAAGAAGCATCAAAAACTGAAAACCTAACGTGTCGGGCTCTGGATGCATGTTTTATTTCTGGGATACACTTAAAAATGCAAATATGGTTTTTCACGTAGCCCTATTGGCCAATGTGGTAAATCTAAGAATATCACTTCTACAACTGCCAGGGGATTCTAGTGTTAGTTATCTTGGAAATAACATTGCTTTATATATTGTGCACTATCACTTGTGTGCTATCCGATTATATAGATTTGTAGGGATGAGAGAAGTCTGCGTTACAAGGGAATGCACCATAAGAAGTTAGGCTTGTCGACTATTTAAACATAGTATTATGATAGGCCCTGAAATGGCTGGTGTATGTAGAACCGTCTCTGAGTAGGGTAGAAATTGATTAACTTCTCAACTGAAATGTCTGGAACATTGGGGGAATTTAGCGGTGTAACTGAACCCGGCTGTAGCTGCAGTACAGTCACTACCGATTAAGAAGTTGCAAGGGAAGTGGGTATCAATTTCGTAATATTACTTGAAGGTTATCTTTAATCCGAAATGAGGTCAGCGTTACAGGAGCGATAGCTGCCAAACATCAGTAGCCTTTTATGAGTGTATATTCTAAACGGTTTTATATAATTATTAAAAGAACTACTGATGAAGCAGTTCAGACTTCAAAGAGCTATTAGGTATCCCGATAGTCCTGAAAGTTTTAAAAAACAAATTTAGCACTTTGTTTTCCTGGGAAAATATAATGACTTGGCTGGCATTCAAACCCACAAACTCAATTAGAAACAAGCTTTGCCGGTTAAAGGATCAATTCTGTGGAGCCTTTAAAACAAAACAATTTATTTCATCTAATACCCTGCTATAGTTGTCAGGTCAAATACATAGGTCAAACTAGTAGAACAGGGACAGTCAGACTAGCTGAACATAAGAAGCTAGCGAAATCTAGATTGGTTGACCCAAATAAGATAAGAAATCTAGAGAATAGTTCAGCTATAACACTACATGCAATTGCGCACAACCATACAATAAGATAGGAAAGGTGACAGTTTTGAAATCTAATGTCACAGGGTATAGGGAGAGATTGACAACAGAAGCTTTGTTTATCCAATCAATTGCAAATGCATGTAATAGGGATGATTCAACACTTGTCCCCGATATCTGGAAAATTCTACTCCCCCTACGACAAATAGGAGAAAACAAAGAATGCTATAAAACTCAAGCTTCAAAGTCGTGTGATTACAATTGATATGATTATGAACAGCAATAAATTTTGTTCGAAACGTCATCCAGTAAATAATACTGTTTCACTACGTGATGCATCTAATAAACAAACTAATATGGAATTACTTACTACCACAGTGCCCAAGTTTTACACATATATTTTTGTGACTTCCACAGTAAGGGAGGATTTTAGTGTGTTTAAGTACTTTAAATAATCTGTTGAAGGCTAAACGCCATCTTAAAAAAATTTGAACTTCTTATTCAAGGTGTTTAGATTGTGCAGCTACATCAATTGAGTTGGCTAGGGACACGTGTCGCGCATGCCGAGCAATGTTAGCTGACATAGGGGGTTGGATTGAAAAAGAATAAGGAGTGGTCAGACTGAAATTTGGAATCAGTCCATGACATCTTTGACAGGTGGTTTAAGTCAGCCATGTAGTGGGGGTGTGTATAGATTGTCTGGTTGGGATCCTCGAGACGCTGAGAAACAGTGGCTGGTGACTGTCGGTGATACAACCCAAAATAACTTTGAATGGTGCAGATGCATTCAGTCTGTGTGTTCTGTCGTATCAGTGTGGCCCTCATGTGTTTTTTTACATCACTGATCATTGTAGTTCTGTAGAATTTCTTTTCTGTACGTTTGTATGTTACATAGTCGGACAACTTGAAGTGATATACTTCTGTGCCAGTCAGTCAGTCAGTCCGTTTAGAAAATTTATACCGTAAGCATTCCTACCCTAACACGACAGTGGTTCCTACACACAATTCAAACCAATTAAAAACCCTGGCATAATTGATTCTTGTGATATATCAGAGTGTTTCACTGTTTGCTATGAAACATTCATCAGTACTGTTGTTTAAAGCTTCGATTAGGATTTCTTAAATGACCATCAGTAAAGACATTAAAATTCTGGCTTGCTATTCAGCTGGGATTGTCATAAGTGTGCTTAGTTCTTTTGGTTAAATTCCTTGATTCTGCATTCCACAAAAGTGTAAACAAACTCAGAATAAACCAAGATGTTGTATAAAAATAGACAGTAATAAGTGATTTATAGTTTTTTCCAGACCATTGAAGATTGGTAGAGGCTAACAATATCATTACAGCCACTAGATTGTTCTGCTTCTTTATACAGCCCAGATCTCAATAGTCTGTGATTTCGTTTCTTAATTTTTCCACCTATACTTTATGTCTAAGATTTTTTAAGTTTCAACTCTTTTCCTGGACTTATATTGACTAGGCACATGGGTACATGCGTCGGTGGTTTAGCGATAAAATGCTCGGGAACTACACCTCTAGTGGTTAGGGGGTTAGGTTACCGGTTGAATCACTCTTAAACCTTGACTAGCCGGTAGTAAGCCCGGTAAAGAGGGAAGGTTGGTCGGGAGATTAGAAACCCCCTAACTCGTATACCAGACACCACTACTACTGAAAATTCAAGGCATTAAGCCGGAAGCCGTGTGTTCCCCTCGGAAGGCAAGGAGTGGAGAAAAAACATGGGTATAGCGTGCCACATTTACTAATAATACATAAAAAGTAATGCTTATGCAAAGCAATAGTCCACTGGAATTGTGTTCTTTCTGAATAACTTCGCGCATGAGTCATTCCAAAAGCCATCCTCAGTGTACAAACTTTGCAGTAAGGCTTTCTACCACCTATTTTAAATACAGAATGTAAAATTTCAGAAATTCGAGAGTTATATCGAACAGTTTTTTTTTTTGTAAAATTATTAAGATCCTAAGGTTTGTTTTTATAGGTTTATCTTGCATGAAATAAGCTATACTTACTTCTTAATTCCAATCTCTGTCAGTCATTCCACGTTAAGTCAGATATTTGCAAAGAGTCAATGTGTTCTCTGAGTTGTTTTGTTGATAAGGAGCTAATTTATTAGTACTGTTGTAATTTCTGTGACATATGCTACTAAAAATGTCCAACTACCTATCCGTAGCACCCCAAAGACCTTAGGCCGTGATAGCCTTTAGTTCTCCATCGTGCTTTATTCTCACTCCTTAAGGATCACTGGCAGTTGTAATTAAAAAATTTTCAAACTATGCGGTAATGACTTTTCGCAGTTATTGTTGTTATTCAAATTTCAAATCGAATTATTTGATGCTTAAAAGTATCCCCAGTCAATAGGGCTTCTTGGTATTATTGTTATAGCATTTCGTTTTTAGCTACTAGCAGAATTTACTACAAGCCTGAATGGAAAAGTATTAACCTTCTAGAGTGTAATTGCGCATCGATGGTTCATGGGTAAACTGCTCATCGACCAAGCAACATAGTCCCGGGTTCGATTCCTAGCTGACATACTCGTAAGCTTCACTTAGCCAGTAGTAATAAGCCTAGTGAAGAGGGAAAGTTAGCTGTGATGCCAGTGACTTCACTCCCCTGTAACCAAAACCACCGATACTGAAAATTCAACGGTCAAGTTTGAAGCCCTATGCGCCATTCCGAACGCAAAGGTATGAATATAAAGTTTACTCACAAGAAGAGCAAGAATACAATACAGGGTGAAACTGTCTATCATCTAGCCAACAACGGAATTCTTCATGAGGGGATAAAATTCACATTTGAGTGGGAAAATGAACAAGAAGAATTAGCTATGAGGTTAGATTGTAAAATAAAACGAATAGAAAAAGGTAAACTACACACTAGTGTTTATAGAATACCAACGCATTATGCTAATAGATATTTAGACTTTAATTCATCACCTCATCCGTTATCTGTCTGTGAAGGCTGGTGGCTTAGTTAAGCTTCTAACGAACCGAGCAGTAGTACAAAAAAGAATTAAATGATGAAATAAAACAGATAGAAGAAGCGTTGGTATCAAATAACTATCGTATAGAATTTACTAGGAAGATCAAAAAAGATCAAAAGCTAAATCAAAATAATTGTGAAACTAGTAATGATAACACAGATAAGAGAGAATATAATTCATCCACTATTATACCATATAAGGAGGGGACATCTGAGACCCTCCCTAAGTAGGATTCTCAATAAAGCAGGAATTAGAGAAGTGGGAGTTAAACCTACAAACTCACTCAGCTAGGACAAGCTCTATAGGTTAAAGGACCCTGTCGGTTGACCCAATTAGACAAAATAATATGATTTACAAAATACCTTACAATGACTGCGAGTGAGGTCAACTACATAGGTCAGACTAGTAGTTCCAGGTAGTCAGATTGTCGAAACATGAGGATTTAGCTAAGGGAAGAATGGTTGACCCCGAGAAGATGAGTAATTTAGAAAAAAGCTCAGCACTACATTGCACTGCATGCATTAACACACAGCCACACAATAAGGTGATCGGGAGAGGGTTCGGGTTCTAAGAAGTAATCTATGTAGGTGGAGAGAGAGAATGATTGCGGAATCCTGCCTGGTTCATCGACTCTATACCCAACACATGCAATAGGATGCAATGACTCATCACTCATACCGGAAATATGGAAAATACTACTACCAATCAAATCAAGCGATGGAAAATAATGGAATTATATAAACGAAGTTAGAAAGTTGTGTGAGTACTGCCTTGATATGATAATGAGCGGTAATAAATTGTGCTCGAAACGTGGTCATCACTAAACATTACACTGTATAACAACACTGTGAGACTTTATCAAAAGAAATTTTTACCCCTAATGGAATTCTTCATGAGATCCCTTAATCTTTCTTCTATCTCATAAGTTATTGTTGTATATCTTCTGTTTTAGAATTTCTTTTTTCTTAATATTTGAAAGAAAGTATCACGTCTTCTATTTAATTTCTAGATTATGAATTCATCATTGAGAGCATTATCTCAACGGAATGTTGTCAGTGAAAAATTCAATGTCAAGGAAAATCTGAGTGGTAATGTTCCCTTTTTTTGTTTTCCAATAATCTTTTCTTTTTTTGTTTTTGCCAATTTAGTTTTAATGCAAATATCATTTCAGTTAACAAACGACTCGAATTTGCTGGAAAGCAAAAATCTAAAAAATCCTAATGAAACACTTCATGAATTCTTTCTAACACTGATTGATTACATCGCCTATTTAAAGTCCGTTGGAGGTGTTGCAGTTCACGAATTCCTTCAAGTGACTGCATCACTTGTTAAATTGTTTAAGTTATTTCATGAATATGAGCATTTTAGTTTATGCTGGAAATCTGGTCTAGATTTAAACAGTCTGATTGAACAACTTTTCAAATTATGGGAACGTGTACAATGTTACAAAACTGCAAAGTCTGTAAATAGCATTTGCTGCGTTAAAGAAATCAATGAAATTTTAAATAATATTTCCCAGTTATTTGGTTTCGTACTGTTAGGTGAGTGGAATTTTTTTTTGTTTGAAAAAGGTGTTTCTTATAATATATGCTTTGGTACTTTATTTATATGAATACTATTACTGATAATATATCGGCCGGTCGGTCGGTCGGTTTTCGACATAGAACTTTGCACATATGTACGGCAGTTCAAGTCGCCACACTCCATGTAGCACACAAATCAGGAGAAGAAAGTAGGAGAAATGCATAATATAGACAGTAAACAGAGGTGTGAAACAAAGGAGTAGTAATAACGGAGAACAAAACAGTTTAATTGGAAATCACAAGTCACAAGGAGTGGATGCATCTGTGACAGCCATTGAGAACGATTTTGAGCCATGTCACCAATTGTTTCCAACCATTGGTGTTTACCATCCCGAGGACCCCAACCAGGAAGTCTACACCTTCCTACGTGGCTTAGGCTAACCGTTGTGGATTTCATTGACTGGTGCCATGTTTTGGTTTGACCGCCGCTAGCTCTTTTCCAGCCTGACCCTATATCAGCTAACATTGCCCATCGAGGAAGGCGATGACTAGGCATACGTAACACATGTCCCAACCATCTCAGTCGATGTAATTTCACAGTCTCGTCTATTGATTTCCCCGCCTTACCTAGCACTCGACGCCTAACCTCAATATTGCTCACCTTATTATACCACTTGACACGGGAGATAGAACGCAGACACCTATGATCGAACATAGATATTCTTTTCATATCTTCTGCTCTCAATGGTCATGTCTCACAGCCATAATATATCGCCGGTACTTGATATGCAGCTGTGGGCCTTGACTTCCATCCAGTGAGAAACGAGTTCGAATCCCCTTGCACATACCGAGATAGTCGGTAGGCAAGTACTATCTGTAGCCGTCACACAGTAGGTGTGTCTCAGAGCAAGTTGTGCATGGAATTGCAAGTGGTTGTTCAAATTTGTTCACATTTAACAGTACTTATTATTATTATTTGCAGATGACATAGTCCTCTTAGGGGAGGATGCTGAAAAAATTCAGAGTCTTCTGAACACCTTGAGCAGCAATCTTCGTATGTTTGGCATGCGATTCGCCCCTGTAAAATGTAAGACGCTACTGCAGGGCTGGACTACGTCAACTCCTAGCTTAGTGATAGGGAGTGAAGTGATAGAACATGTTGACCACTTCACCTATTTGGGAAGTTGTATCAGCACCAACGGACTGATTGGCGACGAAACCTCAGCACAGATCCAAAAAGCTCGGGCTGCTTTCGCTAACTTGCACCGTCTCTGGCGTAGGCGTGACATCCGACTATCAACCAAGGGACGTGTGTACTGCTCAGCAGCTCTCTCCATCCTTCTCTATGGCTCTGAAACATGGCCAATACGAGTTGAAGACATGAAAAGGTTGACTGTTTTTGATCATAGATGTTACGATCTCTCTCTCGCGTTAGGTGATATAATAAGGTAAGTAATGTTGACGTTAGGCGTAGAGTGTTGGTCAAAGAGGGAAAATCAATCGACGAGGCTATAAAGTTACATAGATTGAGATGGCTAGGTCACGTGCTGCGCATGCCTAACCATCGCCTCCCTCGACGGGCATTACTAGCTTATATAGGTGCAGGTTGGAAAAGAGTAAGTGGTGGCCAAACAAAAACATGGCCTCATCAATCCATGAAATCCCTGACAGTTAAACTGAGTCAGGTAGGGAGATGCAGACTTCCGGGTTGGGGCCCGCCCTTGGGACTCTAAGAATCAGTGGCTGGAGACAATAGGTGACACGGCCCAAAATCGTTGTCAGTGGCGCAGATGTATTCAGTCTCTGTAATCTTTCATATTCCTTTCTACCATTACTCATTCTGTTTCACTCTTATACTTGTCAAAACTCTATTGATTCTCTCCACTCATCATCTTGTCTACCTTTGTGTGATATTTGAAACGTGGCAACTCGAACTGCTGCACTTCGGTGCCAAGTTCTATGTTGAATTCAGCAGCAGCAGCGATTTCCTCTTCAGCCACTGACGCAGGTACAGACTCCACTATTTTCTAGTAGCTATGGACTCTGGAATGTTCACGAATGTCTGCAGGACAAAATGTACTCACCTCGTTCGTATATCAGACTCCTCCTTGCCTCCTCATAGTGACCAAAGAAGCCTGACGTCTTTGCAATTATATGATAATTTTCAGGTATGCATGATTGCCCAATTACATTGAATTCTGATTTATTAACCAAGGAGAGATCCAAAGAATCATCAAAGGCCCATTCTCTTTCTCGTTGCAAAAACAGCCTTGTGATGCCTTCTTCATCAAAATAATTATGAATAAGCAAAAATAATGAACTAAATATATGAGTACAAATCATAAATGTATGAACAAAACAATTCCAACAGTGGTGTGAACACGGGTAGTAATTTTGCTCGAAATATTACCAATAACAAAACTTATCATTGTGTGTAAACTATTGAAATATAGCTACTTTTTTTGAACTTTGAGCAGACTTTGTGCCTTGTATTTTTAGTGTTCTAAGATTACTTAACCAAATTGTTTTTTCGTATTAAACAAGAAGTGCCAGATAGCTTAGCGAACACGTTACTATTCAGTCAAGCATATCACGGAGTCTGTAGTCACCACTTTCTATTAATAACAGATTTGTTAGTCACGCTATATGCTACTGACTGGTTGAAATGAGTAGTATGTAAACAATGTAAATGGCGAATTTGATTTGACTTATTGCTAGTCCTCCCATGTAGCTAACGCGATTTCGACTAGTTTGAACTGATTTGGTCCTTTCAACTGAGTACATCGCTGATGAGCTGGTCTCCAAACAAGTGAAACGTCCGCCCAGGGATTTTTTTTATCATTTTTATCTGGCTGGCTAGCAGGCAACACTGGTTGATGTTTGGTTTCCAGCTACTCACGTGTATTTACTGGACGAAGGAGCGGTACGGACTATAGAAACATCCGAAATTTGGTTTTATATTTATCATGGTGTTGTTATTGTTTTCCTTATAATCTACTTCTTGTTTTTTTTCTTTTCTGATGCAATTAGGTAACTTGGATTATGTTCGAAGTGATTTATTCCGAACTATTGGTCAATCACTTTTAAGTGAAATCAATAGCAGAAATGTAACAGTCGATGGACATGTTACTGAATCGTATCATATCTATTCTACAATGTCACATTTAGTATTTCTACATCCTATATGCAGCCAGTTGAACCTTCAGAGAGCTTATAAACGTCTAGATAATGTTTTCAGTCAATATCTTTTAAAATCATTTCAACAAGCCTTTTTAACTGCTTTGAAATATGTTAAACAACCATTGAAGTCTGTTGGCAAAGATAGTGGTGATGACGATGTAGATGTGAGTGATTTTGTTTTTTTGTTTTAATTTTTTAACTACTCATGAGTAGTTTAAAACATACTGCTAATACGAGAGAGGTTTTCGTTATTGGGTTGAAAAGTAATAATGGCTGTTGCATTCTTTTTCACTGTGGATACATTTAACAATACAATTTCCAAGTGTTTGGTGTGCAGGAATCTGATTAACTTCAAGATTTATCACGAGATGTGATTCCAGTAGGAGAAGCATTGAAAACAAAAGGGTACTGGACATGTGTTTCGTCCTTATTTGAGATACTTCGTCAGTACACACCCGTGACCTCACGAGTGATTAAAGCCACGATTTTTAAAATTTTTTTGCATTTATAATTCCATTTCATAAATATTCACTTTAATTAGTTGATTAGTTGCTTATGTAGATGTGCGTCGGTGGCACAGTGGTTAGGACTCTCGCCGACCATGCACATGGTCCGGGGTTCGATCCCCTGCCGACGCACACCCGATATCTATGGTCGGCCTGTAAATTTGGACTACCGATATCCATGCTGAAAATTCCATACTTGTACTGAAAGTACGGTGTGGCATCAAGCTGTAATAAAAAAAACTGATGTAACAGTTACTTGTTTGACAGATTTCAGTTACATTTGGAAACGATTGCGTGCTTCTTTCTTTCTTTTGCTGCCTACATATGCTATATATCAGATACATCGGTAATGTATTTGAAAAAGGAAAATCACTGGGCATATAAGTGTCGCCTCCGGTGCTTCATCAAACCCACCCTTTTTCTCTAATTTCTGTGCATTCCAGGCGGAATACGGAGCTTCAAGCTCGAGATTTAAAGTTTCAGTACTGGTGGGTGGGATTTCTAGCCTCACACTCAACCTTCCCCCTGTTCTAAACTTACTACTGGTTAAGCAAGATGTCGGAGTGAGTCGGCCTGGAACACGTGTGTGTTTGGCGAGTATTCTATCAACGAACCACCAACTCCTAACTTTTTAACATGATAATGTTGGATAATTTAACTGTGGACACATTTGGCGCTGTTGAAAATTCGGAGGGTGATTACTATTGACTAGCTAACAGAAAACCAGATAGTTAACTTAGAGTAGACGAACTCTATAGTAGTCCTTTTAGGTAGCGATACCAACAAAACAAAGTCTTCCTATTCCCCTGAAAAGACGGGAGCGAATCTCATGCTAAACATTCGTAAATTGCAGCTCCTCAAGGTGTTCAGAAGACTCTGCTCTATTTTGTCAGCGTCTTCACCTAGGAGGGCGGACTATATCATCTGCATATTCTAAGTCAACCAGATTATTCTCTGATGATAACAAGTCGATCCCTGAGTCTCTGAAGTCAGTTAGGGTTGATTCCATTAGTACATCCATGATGAAATTGAATCGAAATCGGGACAGTGGGCATCCCTGACAGACACCACTAGTTGTCACCACTTCAGATGACAAGTCGCTGTAAGCCCTCACCTGACTGCTTGAGTTCAAGTAGAGTGCCTTGATCAGTGCAATGTATTTTCTCGGGATTCCCTTCACAGCCAAACATCTCCATAGCACCTCTCGGTTGACGGAATCGAATGCTGCCTTCAGGTCAAGAAATATGACGATTGTTGGACGGCGGTAAGTATGCCTATGTTCCAGAATCTGTCGAAGGGTGAAGATATGATCAGTGCACCCTCTTCCTGGTCTGAAGCCTGCCTGGTTCTCTCGTATTTGTGCTTCCCGTGAACCACCAAGTCTACGCATTATTATTGAGCCTAGGACCTTAGATACCATATTAGTCAAGCTAATCCTTCTGTGATTATCACGGAAGACTTGTCTCCCTTCCTGTATATCGAGATAATCAATGACGTACACCAACTCGACAGGACTTCCTCTGATTCCCAGACTCTGCCTAATACCTTAGTTAACGCAGACAGTAAACCGTCTCCACTATACTTAAATACCTCTGGAGTCATTCCATCGGGTCCTGCTGCTTGCTTTGCCTCGTTTCAGACTTATTCGGCATACATTTGTTGTTGTGATAAAAGTGTTAGGTATGGCGCTACTAACTTACTGAGAAACACACTGAGTAAACGGCCCTTCTTATTCTTTTTTTCATTAATATATTGTTGTCATTTATTTCCAATTGATCCTAATTTTACATTCATATTCCTATTGATATGATTATCAATGTAAATGCCCTCTTAAGTATTTCCTCCCTATAAAGAAGAAATTAGGTGCAATGTAGTTACTCTGTGCTGAGATTTGCACACTTTTAAAAGTACTGTTTGGAATAAAGGCATTATTATTACTATTATTATTGTCTATGGTTAGTTTGTAAGGGTTAGTTATGTTTTTAAGAGTTGATCACGGATTGATATCAGTTAGAGAACCATTGAAAACCAACACTGAAGTACTGGATAGCTGTTTCATCCTAGTTTGGGAATCATCGGTAGTGCGCACCCACTGCCAGGGTTCTAAACCAGGACCTTCAGGTTACAAGGCAAGCTCGTATATCATTCAGTCACTGTTACCTGATTCAATGGCTCATGAATTGATTTGACAAGTAAATGTGTGATCAGATTGTTCGAAATGTATTCACCAAATTCACCACACGATTTTTCAGATAAACTTTGTCTTCGAATAACGTTATCCCGATAACTGACGATTTTAACACTAGCGTTTTTGACGAATAAAATAAAACAACAACTTTAGAATGCTTAAAATAAGGCAGTAATGAATAACAACTAACAGTAATCGTGATGTGGTATCTTTAAGTAAATCGCTTGTATGACAAAAAGTGGGATCGAGGTGTTAAAACTGTCAAGCTACTTGGTGAACATTTCAGCATCCTTTCACTGTGAGAATTAGATAAAAAAAATTGTTTACAACTGAAACAGATTTAATTGGTGGATGGTGACTAGCAGTGGAATCCAGGATAACGCACATTTCGTCCTATTTGGGACTCTTCAACTGGATGTACCTGCACTCCCCACGAATTGGTAGAAGTTAGAATTCATGATCCATTGAATCGGGACCCAGTGGCTGAATGGTGTACGAGTTTGCCTTGTAACCGGAAGGTCCTGGGTTCGAACTCTGGCAGTGGGTGCGTACTGACGATGATTCTCAAACTAGGACGAAACAGCTGTCGAGTACTCGAGTGCTGGTTTTCAATGGTTCTCTAACTGATATCAATCCGTGATCAACTATTATTATTGTTTAAAAATAGATCCATATTTCGAATTTTTATTTTTACTCTTACATTTTTGTTGTTGTATGATTTCAGTTATATCGTCTTACTGTGCAAACTTGTCTAATTGGTTTATCACAACTGCAGTTACGTCGTCTTCAAAAATTTCCACCAAATGACATCACTGAACATGTAAAAACACTATGGTCTTATGTGATCCTCTTCAGTGGATTGAGTAAAAAATCTTCGAAACAGTCTAATCCTGTATTGAATGATGAAGCAAATGGTTGTGTATCGGCGCATAATTCAATGCCTTCTTCTGACAGTGATTCATATCAGTCAGTGTCACCATTAGGTGGTGATTCATCATCATCTGACTGTGAGGGATTTATAAAAAGGTAAGATAGAACATGCATTGTATTATTATTATTATTGTTCCCTTGGGTTCCTAGTGGAATATAGGGCTTCAACTGCACGTCTCCCCTTCCTTCTGTCTTCTGCTGTACTTTTCACCTGCATCTATGTTAATCCATACTGTTTCAACTCCTCTTCACACGATAACCTCCATGTCACCCTTGGACGTCCCACTCGCCGCTTCCCTTTCGGGTTCCACTCGAGCAATGGCCTGACGCGCGATGTCACCCAGCGGCCTCCTCAGCGAGTGTCCAATCCATCTCCAATTTCTCCTGCATATTTGTTGGGCGATTGGTTCATGTTTCGTTTCTTCTCATAGTTTCTTGTTGGTGATTCTTTCCGGTGGCCATCTGATCTTCAGTATAGAGCCAGCGAAGACAGCTGTTGACAAGGGTCTGCAACTGGCTGTTGGAAATATTCTTTGTGACTCGCCAAGTTTCTGATCCGTACGTATAGAAGAACTGGCTGACCTGACGTTTGTATTGAAAATCCGAATCACTTTGTTGTTGATGCAGGCTGAGTGACGAAGATTTCCAGATTGGTCTCAGGTTGATGAATGTGTTTCTCGCCTTCCCGATTCTCGATTTGACATCCTCGTCCGTTCCTCCTGTAGTTGAGACAATACTCCCTAGATAAGTGAATGAAGTAACCTGTTTCAAATCCCTCCCGTTGATGGTGATTGGCACTGGATGTTGCTGCTGTTGTTGTTGTATTTGATTGGTTATTTTCATAACCTCCGTCTTGTCTATGTTCACCTGGAGTCCTGTCTTTGCTGCCAGCCTCTTCGATCAGTTTGTTGGTTTTCGCTTGTAAGTCTTCGATTTTGTGTGACACCAGACATAAGTCATCCGTGAAATCCAGGTCTTCTAGATTTTTCATGTCGGTCCAGGATATCCCTGTCTTCTTGCTTCCCACTGTCTGACGCATGATCCAGTCCACCACAATTAGGAATGTCATTGTTGATAAGCACCCTTGTCTAACTCTTGTGTTTACTCCAAACGCTTCGCTGAGTTTTGCGTTGTGGATCATTTGACATGTGCCGTTGTCGTACAGCTGTTGAATAAGGTTGATGAATATTTGCGGTACGCCGTAGTACTCGAGTAGTAGTTTCCAAATTACTTCGCGGTCAACACTGTCGGAGGCCTTCTCAAAGTCTATAAGGTTGAGGTAGAGGTTTGATTGCCATTCCATGCTTTGTTCTGTGATGATGATGCGTAGAGTTGCATTGAATATATACATATTTGAATTACCCGCATAACGATCGCACTACGTTTTATAGGTTGCCTCCTATCCTATAGTTATCCGAAATCAGGTCTAATAGCCAGTCAATATAAGCTTCAAATCACTTGTCACTTTAAAAAAAATTTATTCTTTTGTGTTCCTAGTGGAACAAAGGACTTCAATCTTGAGCTTTTAGGTGTCAGTGGCAGTGTTGTTCCTTGTCACTGGGAAGGGTTGCTAGTCCCACGCCCAACCTTTCCTCTTTACCCATCTTATCACCATCTAAGAGAAGTTCAGTAGTGCGTCGGCCAGGAATCGAATGCCGGACCATGTGAGTGTTTGGTGAATGTTCTGTGACTGAAGCTTGAATTCAGGAAGCATTGTATACTGGTTGACTGGCCGATCTCCCGCGTTAATTGGTACAATATGGTGAGTAGTATTGACTGTTGGCGTCGTGTTAGGTAAGCAGAGTGAGTTAATCGATGGAGTTGTGAAGCATTATTGATTGAGATGTCCAGGACATGTGCTACACATCTTCCGAGCCATTGTCTTCCTCAACGGGTAATATTAACTGATGTGGGATTAGGTTGGAAAAGAGCAACAAGACGCAGTCAAACTGAAACCTGGTACTACTAGTTCATGAAGTCTTTGATTATCGTTTGAATGGTCCACTTAGAATTCCTGGTTGGGATCCACGGGACGCTAAAAACCAATGGGTGGACACTGTTGGCAACATAGCTAAAAAATCGTTCTCAGTAGTGCAGATGAAGTCATTCTTCGTGAACTTCCAGCTGACAGGCAATGAAACATCTATTAACTAAGACTTTCGGATAATGTCACGAATCAATTTGTATGAGGATATGTAAGAAAACGTGAAATAATAAATGCTAACGTTCAAAATTTATATATATATATATATATATATATAATATTAAGGACAGTAGTGGTGATATTATATCGTTGGAGGCGATCGGCAGGAAGCCATTGACCCAGGTTTCGTGCTGGTTGGCACTTACCAGTCAGCGAGGCATATCTGCAACCTTGAAGGAACTCATGTTTCGTTCTGAAATTCGAACCCACGTCACCCAGTGAACGTTGCAATTAGAGATGTTATCACTGAGCTCTTCGAACTCGCGATTGACTTCCTGTGGGACTATAGTGGGTATTTTGATTGGACACTAGTAAATAGTGCGACGTGTCCACTCCTTTCTTTGGTGCAGACTAAATTCGATTCAATCAAAATACCCACTACAGTCCTACAGGAGATCAATCGAGAGTTCGAATAGCTCAGTGGTAACGTCTCCGACTGCAGGTGGTACTGGGTAACGCGGGTTCGAATCTCAGAAGGGACGTGAGTTCCGTCGAGGTTGCAGATACGCCTCGCTGACTGGTAAGTACCAACCAGCACGAAACCTGGGTCAATGGCTTCCTGCCGATTGCCTCCAACTATCTAATATCATCAAATCAATGTGCACCGCGATGGCGAGCTACCTAGAATGGTGGCCACATTGCAAACTTGGCTGACTGATAGAATTCAGTCTGCACCAAACAAACAAAGGACTAGACACGTCGCACTATTTAGTAACTAGTGTCCAATTAAAATACAGTAGTGGTAAATTAGTCAAGAAAATTTTATTTCGTGAAATACACTATTCACCAGTAAACAGAATTTCTATTTACTATTTTTTATTTTATAAGGGATATGAAACCATCAGCAATTATTCATAACGATTCATTGGATTCAGCTTTAATAACAACACAAAATATCGCCAATTGTTTACTGCACAACAACAACAACAGCAGCAACAGCAACAACTGTCGACATCCAGCTGTTCCTTCCTCGACAACAACATTATCGTTATCACCGTCGTCACCACAGTCAGTATCATTTGAAAAATTGTCTACGCCACATCAATTTCAAAGGAGTAGTTATAAGAACACTTCTTCAAAAAAGTATGCGTCGTTTATATCTGAAAAACGATCAACTGTCTCTCCTTCTAATGCGTACAAAAGTCATGTAAGTTTACTGCCGCCTTTAGTCAGTGTGTCTTCTTTTCCCTGATCATCATTGCTGGTATACAATGAGAAGAGTATTTTGCGATCTGTGTGATAGTAAACTATAACTGCACGTTTTCGTTAAGTTTATCCGACATAACATGATTAATAGAATATTATTAATAGATGAGTAACATTTATGCGCAATTTATAATAATAATTTGCTTTATTCCAAAACAGTACTTGTGATACAGAATGGAATTCTCAGCATTTCACTACAGTATTGCATCCAGTTAGTACATTATCAATAAATAGAATTCTACATAGATTAAGGAAATCTCAGTTCATTATGACAACAACACATTGGCATGTCCGTAGCAAAGCCAAAGTAGAACAGTGTTTGAAGGTGTTAGAAAAGTAGGTGCTGTCATATTTACTGGCGTAAGCAGAAGAAAGAAACAAAGCAGCACATAACAGAAAAAAAAGAGAGGGAGAGGAAAGGAAAAGAAAGAAAGAAAATGTTGTACCTATAAATGATATGAGTTGGAAAGACGAGGTCCAGTTGTTCTACTGACTATTTAACGAATTATAGGTGTCACGCCTAATGCTTTCTTTATCGCACAGAACACGAGCCAAATAGGGTGTGGTTGAGATTTTGTAATTGCTAGTGCGAGCATGTAGTTTTCTATATAGGCTTCTGGTTTTGCCTGGTGAGATGCTAGGAGAGAGTTGTGAATGAAGAGGGTAGTGTGAGTCAGATAAAATGGATTTGGCCCATTTTTCACATGAGCCCAGGTGCCTGCCTGTCGACCAGAATATTAACAAGCTGGTTAGGTGGCACGTTGCTCACCCTGCTGAAAACCTTTAACATCCTGCGTAATAAGGTATAGTCTTTCTTCAGTAGCCCTGTAAAAACTAAGGGGGAACAATAGAGAATAACAGGCAGGATGCAAGAGTTAACGAATTGTAGGAGGAAGGGTTGGGTTATATCAGAATGTTCTAACTTCTTGATGTAGAAGGTAAGACGGAATATTTTCTTGGAAATCGCCAAGATATGAGACGACCAGGAAAAATCAGCAGATAGAATGACGCCTAGGTATTTGATTTCCGACTTGGTTTCTGTTTCAGTGCCATCTATGTTGCACACTTCGTGAGAGCTAACCAGTTTGTTTAAGTCAGATTTATGCCTAAAGGTGAAATTGACTGTTTGGCATTTGGAGGGGTTTAAGGTAAGACCGTTTTCCTTGGACCACTGGCTGATTTCTGATAAAAAGCCATTTAGTTTGGAGCAATCACTTTGACATTTGAAAGGTAATGATACAGTTAGGTCGTCAGCATATTTAACAAAATTAATGTCATTTGAAGATAGTAAGTCATGTTAGCTTGTTAGGAAACCAGTAGATTGTACTCGAAACTTTATTCAGTTTTTAATACTGTCTCTTTATTATACCACTTATTTCAAATGAACTTACCTAATATGGGATCATCAGCATTCTTGTTTACATCTTATGTTTTCTGGTTTATCATAGTGGAATAAGGAATAATTTCTATCTTATTTGTCACATTAGTAATGTACGCATCTGGAACTAATGACTTTGTAAATACATTTCGTGATGTTCGATGGTTGGAGGCAATCGGCAGGAAGCCATTGACGTAGGTTTCATGCTTGTTGTCACTCGTCAACGAAGCAAACAGTTTAAGGAACTCATGTCTCCTCTGAGATTCGAACCGACCACATCGAGTGCTGCAGTCAGAGACGTTACCATTGAGCTATTCGAGCTTGCGACTGACCTCCTATAGGACTGTACTGGATACTTTGATTAGCCACTAGGGAGTCATTGGCGGCAGTGTTAAGCCACAGCTTCTTCAGCAGATTTATTCGGATTTTTATTAATCATCAAAATATATTGTCAAATTTTTTTTTACATAAATTGAAGTCAGTTTATTTGAAGGTCACTTGTCGGCAGACATTTGTACCGAAAAAGCTACCACAGAAAATTGAGGAATCTGGGCTATCGACTATAGCCATTTCATATCGAAAGGACACAGCTGAACAACTTCAAAGACTATTTGCTTCATATAATATTAAAGTCTATTTCAAGACATTTGTAAAAAATTATATTTGTAAAGTCTCAGCGAGATTGAAATGAGTAATTTCAACGTTTCGTTCGGCAATCTGGTCCGAACTTCTTCAGGGAAATTAATCGAAATTAACATAACATAGGTTTATATATAAAAAGGAACATCACTTGTTTTTAAAAATTTGTCCAATCATGAGTCATTCAAAAAGTATCAACAAGTATAGTAAACAAAATTTTATGAGATGTGATCAAAATTTGACCTCGGACTTACAAATATTGGTCTACCTTTGTTAAACACTTTAAACAGAGTGTGTATGTGTGTGTGGGTAAACAGTTGTAAAACATTTCTTAACGTCTCCATAAGAAGATATGGACAGTCGAGAATTTTGACCAAGTATTAATAGTTAGTGATACATATCCATTTTTATTTATTAATAAGGATTTCCTATGCATCAGCTAACATCACGCCTTCATGTCTGTTCACACTGTTAGTATCTAGAATTTTATGATTAGACGTATTTTCAAAATTATGGTGTTTAGGATTAGAGTTTAGTAGAAGCACCCTGTCGGACTTATTGCTTTGCCTTCTTTCTGAAGATTGAGCTGCTTTATTCGACCTACTGGAGTTGTCAGGTGACTCGATAGCTACGGATTTAGGATATGCATTATGTTGCAGACAACGGAGAGTGAAAACACGATGATTGTGCCAGTTACACAGTTTCTTTGTTAATTTAATTCAATTTCAAAATAATTCAAATGAACTATCGTCAAGATTTGACAGAATAGTTCTAAAATATTTGGGCGCCGAGTGAGAAGTAGACATTTGTAAAAAATTATATTTGTAAAGTCTCAGCGAGATTGAAATGAGTAATTCCAACGTTTCGTTCGGCAATCTGGTCCGAACTTCTTCAAGCCCTCTAATTCTCTGGAGAAGACTTTGGTGAATGTCAAAGATATGGTTGCCGAAACTATAGAATAATATACAGAATAACAATTTGACATTAGTCATTACAAATATATGATTGATGACTGTTTACATATTTCTATTGGTACAAATGTCCATAGACAAATGACTTTCAAATAAACTGATTTCAATGTATGTAAAAAATTTTGACTATATATTTTGATGATTAATAAAAATCTGAATAAATCTGCTGAAGAAGCTATGATGGCTTACACAGCGAAACGTTCAGAAAACAGATCTTGTTTTGGTTTTCTCTTAAACACACTGGGATGAATTTAAATAATTTATAATGAATTCATCTGGCTCGGCGATCAAATTATACCAGGTAGTTCGAAACACCTACGGTATGGAAACTTATAATCTTATGATTACTACTCTGCTTACCACATTAATCCAACTTTTATAGGAATTGGAGCGTTAATAGATGAGCGTTTACATAAAGAGCACTGCGTCTAATAAAAATGCCTTGTATCGATCGATGTATGCCACCTTTTGGCAAAAATGTTTTCTACCATAGCCTCATGTTTTTGTCATCCCTTTCAAATTCAAGAGTACTGGACAGCTGTTTCATCTTGGTCGTGTACTGTTCATCAGTATAAACCCATAATCGCATTGGGAGTAGAACCCACCACCTACACGTTTTGAGGCCAATAGCTTGACCATATAGTAACTGAGACGCAATCCGGTGGCCCATGAATTCTGACTTTTGTCAGTTCGCTATTATACCTTTCTTCTGACATCTTGAACACGAATGCGATTTATAGGCTGAAAATAAATAAAAGCTAATTTTCATTACTGATGTCTGTTAATATTTCTTATGCAAATGCAAAGTGTGTGTGTGTGTGTGGACAATTCTCCACTGAAGTTTATTACCTGTTTATTGCAATATATATATATATATATATAATTTCTCTTATATATGATTTGTATTTTTAGTCTAAATGCTATCTGTTGGCTATATTCTGCCTTAAACATATGCTGGAAATGTATGGACCCCAGGTTATCATAAATTGTTGGCCTATACTTATGAATAGTGATTGCCTGCAGACAACAGCTTCTGAAGACAAATCCTTCAATTGGGCTGTATCACATGGGATCTCAACACCTGATATGCTTAACTTGTATTTTAAAACGAATGATGTAAGAATTAAACAGGTTAGTCACAAACATTTTGAAGTTATATATATATATATATATATTTACCGTATGTGAGGCATTTCACTAGAAGTAAAATTAGATGGAGAAAGTCCAGGGGTGATCAGATCAAAACGACTGCGTATAAGCTGTCATCTCCCCCTCAAATGATCTCTCCATCTCGTGTTATCCCCGGACGCCGAACTCGTCATTTCTCATTCTGCGTCCAGTTGGAAGTCTACCTGGTGAGAGTGATTTCACTTCAAGGTTCTTAGTGTGTTCCCGACCGATCTCCATTTCCTTCGATATATTCTCCTTGAGTAATAGGTACACTTGGGTGACTGGTTGCCAGAACTGCTTGTCGCTAATCTTTTCTGGCTGGTCTTCTGATCTTCGATATGAACTGATGAAGGGAGCAGCCGTTGATAAAAGCCTGCAGCAGGTTGTATCTAGAATCAAATATACCCACCTACAACTTAAAGTGATGCAGTTGTGTGAAAGATTGAATATCTGTTGAGAACTTGAGTGTAATACTGCCCTCATAAACGATCTGGTACTACGGTCAAGGGTCCTCTGGAAATGCCCTTTTACGGGGCCACAAGTGCATAGCCTCTGCCTCTGCATTCACGTTTTTGGGGTGCTCCTCAATAAAATGTAACGACGAGGACGAAAATCTGGTGCTTAAAACCGGACTTTTCAACATGCAGGTCTATCAAGCCAACGCTGTACGTTGGTTCCAGAATCCAAAAGGAGAGAATGGCGTATGAACCTGATTTGTTCATTGAAAATCATGGGAACGCACCTCTTGACTCTGCTACACTGCCTCGTGGGTTAGACTTCAAGTAAAAGGTTGGGGGCAGGGGTGGTGACCGCTTAAGGCAGCCACATGTTTCAGTCTGGATTTCCGACCAGTAGTATCCAAGCCCTTGCGCAGACTATGAGAATTTGTGTGCTGCATCTACTGGTGCTCTTAATGTACTAATTTCATCTTAATAATAGTAATAATGATTGTTATATGTATATATGTATCGACTTTGTTTCTTTTACAGATATTACTAGAAATACTTGTTCATCTGCTGTCGCATGTTAACAAACGTTTTGCTGTCGCTGAAGATCTCACTCCTTATTCTGCTTCATTTATACCATACTCTGTTAGATTGGCTATGGAATTGCGTCATTTACATCGTCGTCTAGTGTTAGCATTATCTATTGAAAAAACATATGCATTTCAGGTAACGTTGAAAATCTTTTTTCTTGTTTTTTTTCTTTTATCTAACCGAGTAGAAATATTATTTTGTTAAATCTACTTGCAGGTACCTGAAATCGTATTTCATATTTTGCTAGAGATTTGGTATTGTTTACCCCATCGGTTGTTTTAATCACTCCTCTGCAGAAGATAGCAGTAATCTACTGACAGTATAATGAAATACTTTTTTTTGCGTCAAGTTTCTTTAACACCGTTTGAATTGAAAATTCTGGCTGGTTGTAGATTTATTCCTTTTTAGTTGAGAATGTCTAACTTATCACATCTGGTACTTTTGTCTTTAGGTCGGGTGGCCAAGTTAAACTTTAAGCACCACTAACCACTACCAATGGAGTGCGACCGCACCTATGACCTTGAAACGTTGTTGTTACAGTAGTAGCAGCAGTATCAAGCAGGTCACTTAGCCAACTGAATATACATTGAATTCCAGAAAGGATTTCTCTAAGGGCATTTTATTCTAGACTTTGTAAATTTTATGCAAGTGAAATAATCTACATGTGTTTTGTTCATTTACTTTTTCACCAAAAACAAAACAAAACGAACTTGTAGGCTTTACTACTCAAGGCATTGGGTGCTCTTGTCCTGATAACACCATATCAACGTCTCCAGCCTGGCCTTTTAACATCATTACTACCAATGATCAACCATCTACTACAACCAGTAAAGCTGAATATAAGTCGGCCAGCTGATATCAGATCTGGATGCTTGTCGTTGTTAGGCAACATACTGGGCAAGGTGAATGGACCTTTGATTGAGGTAAGCACAAATCTTTTTGATCGGATACACTTTTCAGTAATAATTATATAAAGATGCTTTATTATTATTATTATTGCCGGTTGCTGTTGCTGCTGACTGTGAAATCCCACCAATAGACAACATGTGTCTGTCGCCTCCATTTGTTTCATTTTCCATTGTTTTTGTTACGTTGTTGATACAATGTCTTCTAACTGAAAAGTCAATCCAAATTATCTGTATAGAACAAGTTAATTGCACTGTTGATATAAGAATAAAACTTGTGTGTTTTGTGGTGGTAGAGTATAATTCCTTTATGCGTAAAATTTATTTTGATAAAGTGTCACAGCGTTATACAGTGAGTAATATTTAATGATGACCATGTTTCGAGCACAATTTATTACCACTCAGAATCCTATCATATCATCTAACTGCAGATCCTGAACTAACTCATAGGACGAAGCTGCCCATTAAAGAAATTATTTTAGGAATTCACTTATGCCTCACATCTACTATCTGTAAATTCCAAGGGAAAATATATAGACACACAGATGGTGTAGCAATGGGATCACCAATATCCCCTATCGTAGCAGATATATTTATGGACAGCTGGGAAAATATGGCTCTTAATACATTTAATCCTACTGCAAAAATATGGTGGAGATATAAGGATGATATTTTCACAGTGTTAAAAACAGAACATATCTCTGTCTAGCTTCTTGACACATAAAAACTGACTACTAGAGGGAATAAAATTCACATTTGCATCGGAAAATGAACAAGGAGAATTAGCTGTGATGTTAGATTGTAAAATAAAACGAATAGAGGAAGGTAAACTGCACACTAGCGTTTATAAAAGGCCAACACATTCTTATAGATATTTAGACTTTAATTCGTGGTAAATGAGTTGCGTAATAAAGATGAAAGGTGGATAAAATGACGAGTGACTAATAAGTTGAACAACAGTTTGTTGATTTCGACTCAAAACATGGAAACAAGAGACAATTAAAACTACATTATAGCGAAGTTGGGTGTTGCTAAAGCCAACGGTTGCTTAATTAAATGGTAAAGAGATAGTAAAGACATCCAGTTACCAGAGAGTAGAGAAAGACTGATAATTTTTTCTTTCTGAACACATAAGTGCGGTTTCAGGCGTTTGATAGCAATTTTTTGGTACAATTGAGCAGAAATAAACTATTTTGTTTATTTAATATAATTGGTTTGTTTTTTTACGAGTTGATCACGGATTGATATCAGTTAGAGAACCATTGAAAACCAGCACTGGAGTACTGGACAGCTGTTGGGGTCGCGCTAAGTGACGAATTGGTAGAGGTTAGAACTCATGAGGCATTGAATCGGGTCCCAGTGGCTGAATGGTATACGAGCTAGCTTGCCTTGTAACTGGAAGGTCCTGGGTTCGAACCCCTGTGGTCGGTGTGTATTGCCGATGATTACCAAACTAGGATGAAACAGCAGCTGTCCAGTACTCCCTGGTTTTCAATGGTTCTCTAAATGATATTTTGTTTATTGTTAATTTTGAAAGAGGCAAAAGGATTTCATTATGTCCACTCATCATTTGTATAGATGAGATACCTGGTAGTGGCACTATTGTGTCTGCTCCTTTGAGACGTTGGAGGTGGTCCTTTTTTCTGTTCTCCCAGTGTAAATGCTATCACAGATACATGTAAATTTACACACAAAGAGTTAATAATATGGGGAGGGTATCTATTGACCTTTAATTACACCGAATAGCGTGTTATTCGATTAACTATTTAATGAATTGTCCCGTTGATTTACCCATTTCTTTCATTGATTTCTTGTCAATAGGTCTTCCAAATTTTATCACCTGCACTGGATTTCCCATACGACAATACTGTTAGCCCAAGGAATAACTTAATAAAACCAACAAATTTATCTCCAACACATAATTCAAGAAGTTCCAACTCTTATTTCAGCCACACATTTACGCCTTGTTGGCTTGTTCAAGTAAGCAATCAGTTTATATGCATAATTTTTTTTTCAGAGCGAACAATTGTTTTCAATAAATTCTTCAAGCTCTACAATTATAAATAATTTCTTTTGTCCCACAGGAAATCAAGCAGCAAAGGCTTGTGAGAGTTGTACTAAGTTAGTCTCAGAAAGAAGCTCGGTTGTATAGTTTAGGATGGTATGGTAGCACTGACTTCACATTGTAGTTGAAAATCCGGATCTTATTTTTCATGTTGAGTGCTGTTGACCTCCACACAGACTTGAGAGTAGTGGAAGCTTGTCTTGCTTTCTCGATCCTTGCTTTGATATCCTCGTCAGTTCCGTCCCTCTGTAGTTGAGACGGTGCTTCCCATGTAGGTAGGTAGGTAGGTAAAGGAGGTTGCTTCTTTCAGGTTCCTTCCATTTATGCTGATTGTTGTCTGTTGTTGGTGGTGTTGGCCAGGAATCTTCATCACCTACGCCTGTTTTCTCTATGTTCACCTGAAGTCCTATCTTTGATGCTTCTTCTGTCGCCAACTTGTTGCTTCTCACTTGCATACCTTCCAGTGTTTGTGGGAAATCAGACATATATCATCGACGAAGTCCAGATCCTCCAAGTCTTTTATGTGGGTCCATTTTATGCCTGTTTCCTCGCTGCCTGGCCCGCTGTCTGTCGCATTATCCAATCTACTGCAATCAGGAAAATCATTGGCGATAGTAGTAGGCGGCCAGCTTGTCTTACTCCCGTTTTTTCCCTAAAATCTCGTTTATTTATTTTTCTTTGCATTCTTTTCCTTTTAAATAAAAGGTTTGTCTACGTCTCATTCATCCTGATATCGAATCCATTGATTGGGATACAAAAACAACAACAGTAACAACAACAACAACTACAGCGATTGAAATCAACAACGCTTCATTCAATAATCTTGACAATGATTCAAAATCTTATGAAACGTGTATTTTTCATCCATTACAAGTTCGTAAAGAAGCTCTTGTAACACTGCATCAATTTATTCCAAATTATGCCAATTTTCTACAGCCAAGTTTACCGCTTATCATGAAGGCATTGATTTTCTGTATACAGGTTAGTTGTTTGTTTTTTCTTTTGTTGTGCTTCAGCAATTTCCTTGTCAAAATTTATATATTTTTCAAAGTGGAAATTTTTACATCAAATTTTCTCTTACTTTATGCAGTTCAAGGAGGTGAAATTTCGCTACAGTTTCCTCTGGAATTCGAAACTATTCAGATTACACCAGAGTGTATGTGATCTGCTTGATGTGGCATAAATGTTAATCATGAAGGTAAACAAACATCAACGCGTAAAACTATGTAGCATTGATTGATTGACTGAGATGGGTAGTTGAATACTAATCAACACACTGACCAGCAGTGCGCTTGCTAGCAAACCTGATCGAAGGGATGTAAACTCCGGATGACCGTTTCTCTCGTTTGCGGCTGACCTCGTCAGTGTTGCACACCTCGAACTATGTATATTGTGAATCACAGATTTGATCTATGTCAGAACAGTTCAGTCATGTGACTGCTAGTCAGAAATCGGGTGGGTTGAACTGATTCAGCTGTATGCATTGAGTCAAACAGGACACACGGCTGATGACATTCGCCCCGAAACAGCATACCAATCGTCTGGTTGGCGAGCAAGCACTGTTGATTGATATGATTAATATACAACTGTAACGACAGAAACAAGTGTCAGGCAACAGGTGGAATTGCGAGTCCTAGCCATCTTGATCTATGTAGTTTCACAACCTTATCGATTGATTGTCCCTCCTTGCCTGACAGTCAACCTCGCTCGCCATATAATACCAATTATTAGGGGAGACAGAATGAAAACGTCTGTGGTCAAATACAGCCAGGCTCTTCAAGTTTTCCACTTTCAACGGCAATGTCTCGTAGCCATAAAGAGAGACTTAGCAAATGGTTTCTCAGCACACATGGTCCTTTGATTGCCAGGCGGATATCACGTCTACGCCCAAGACTATGGAAGTTGGCGAATGCTAAATATGCTTTTTGTACCCGTGCCGAGATTTTGTCAGCAACTACTCCATTAGGGATGATGCAACTTCCCAAATTAGCGAAGCTGTAAATATTCTCAACTGACCGATTCTCGTTCTTCAAAAGCTAGATGTCGCTACACACCAATCCTGCTGCATCTTTTTGCACATGAGAGTTGAGAATCTCATCTCAAATATAACAAGATTTCTGCTCAAGATGTTAAAAGGACTCTGCATTCTGTCAGCATCTTGAACCTGGAAGACAAGGTCTTAAGCGTACTCTAAGTTGACAAAACTTTTCCCTAGTAAGTAGTTAATCCGTGAGTTGGTAAAGTCGACTATAGGCATATCCATTAGTGTACATGTGTGATAAAGTTAAACAAAAAATTGGGACAATGGACACTATTGGTTGGGCTGAAAATTATCGTAACTATAACCAACAACTGGTACACCACTTGTTCAATCTGTAAGTTATTGAAAACTCTTCACCGTTCTTTTCTGTAATAATATTAAAAATCAGTCAGTCAAAAACAACTTGTGAAATTTAACCTTTCCCCCGCCCCCTCCCTTTTCATTTTTCTCTTTCAATTCAGGAGAAACAAGAAATTAATGCATTACGGACGTACAGTTTAAGATTCCTTACTGCTCTGTTGCCATATTTAACTAGTTGTTGTTATAACAACAATATTCCTTCACATCATTCTGATGATTTAACCAAGAACAATATTGACGAGAAGAATCAAAGCATGCCTAGAACAACAACAACAACAACAGAACCAAGCATCAATGCTAACTCACTGCTCAGTGAACAAATGACTAATATACATTTAACAAAAGCAGATAATATTGAAGATCACAGTAATCAGATAGGGAACATTGTAGACTGTTCCAAAAATAACAATAATAATTATAACTTTCATAATAATAATAATACTAGTAATAATATTACTATTAATTCTAAATTACACATAGATGAGATACAAGTTATCTCATGGTGGCAAACATTTTTACCATTCATACTGAATATTCTTCAAGTGAGTTGATTATATATATTATTATTTATTTATTATTATTATTGTTTCCTTTAATTCCTAGAGGAACATAGGGCTTCAGCCGTGCGTCTCCATTGAGTTCGGTTCTCTGCTACAGTCTTCACCTGGCTCCATGTCTGCCCACACGTTTTCATCTCCTCTTCACATGACCTCCTCCAAGTCACTCTTGCACTGACGACCAACTCGCCGCTTCCCTTTCGGGTTCCACTCGAGCGATGGCTTGTCTAGTGATGTCACTTGATGGTTTGTTTCCTCGGAGTATAGCCAATCCATCTCCATTCCCTTCTGCCTATTTGTTTCACAATCGGTTCCTGGTTCGTTCGCTCATTGCCAGAGATCTCTGTTGCTGATCTTTTCTGGCCATCTGATGTTGAGTATTAAGCGAAGACAACTGTTAATGAAGGTCTGTAGTTTGTTTGAGATGCTCTTTATGACGCACAATGCAAGTCTCTGATCCGCATAGTAGCACTGACTTTACATTGGAGTTGAAAATCCGGATCTTATTTTTGATGCTGAGTGCTGTTGACCTCCACACAGACTTGAGAGTAATGAAAGCTTGTCTTGCTTTCCCGATTCTTGCTTTGATATGCTCGTCAGTTCCGTCCTCCTGTAGTTGAGACGATGCTTCCCAGTTGGGTGGGTAAAAGAGGTTGTTTCTTTCAGGTTCCTTCCATTTATCCTGATTGTTATCTATTGTTGATGTTGTTGCTGTTGTTGGTGTTGGCCAGGAATCTTCATCACCTCCGTTTTCTCTATGTTCACCTGAAGTCCTATCTTTGATGCTTCTTCTGCCAAATTGTTGCTTTTCACTTGCATATCTTCCAGTGTTTGTGGGAAATCAGACATATATCATCGGCGAAGTCCAGATCCTCCAATTTTTTTGTGTGAGTCCATTTTATGCCTGTTTCCTCATTGCCCACTGTTTGTCGCATTATCCAGTCTACTGCAATCAGGAAAATCATTGGGGATAGTAGGCAACCTTGTCTTACTCCTGTCCTCGTATATATATATATATATATATACATATATATATATATATAAAACTTTTTATTAATGCATAATTCCCTTGATAAGCTATCTGGATAAATCAAGAAAGACCAGATTTGCAGGTTAGAAAAAAACACATCATTTCACACTTCACAGGTTCTCATCAACTGAAGACTAGGTGAAATTACATTGGTTATTATCAAGGAATGAGAAGCAATAACCTACTTCAATGTCGGAATGTGATCGGAGAGAAAATGTTATAAATTAAGGCAGCATCTTCAATTTATATGCAGCATTTTAAAGTAGAAAACAAGAGCAAGGCAGAAACCGGGAAAATGCTTGCTAAACAATCATGAGATTGAATGTCACTCAGTGAGCTGAAATCACCAGTGTGGGAATGATTATGCGATCACCCACACACAACCCCGGTTTTCTACTTTCTCAAACCCTGCATTTTATAAATAGCTGATGACTTAAACTGAATAATTATAATGTTGACCTATTTTTTCGACGCGTTAATTAATTAACAACCTTTTTTCGGCTCTGTCACCTTCTCCAACATCGCCAGTATGTTTTAGTCATTCATTTGAATAACCATTGTATTTTCAGGTAGTCAATCTTTAGATATTGAGAGTGTGTGAGACATAAATTTTAACGTCATTTCTTATTGCAAATTTGATATTTTTTGTTTTATTAACATATTATTTTTCTTGAAAATTAATTTGTATTGTTCAGTTAGATGTCTTTGTTTAGAATTTACATTGTCATTGATCATCATATACGACAGTTAAGTAAACAAGGTTGACCAAGTTGTTTTTGAGGAAATCAACAGATATTTATAGATTTTTATGTACATTTTTATTCGTTATTTTAGCAGAGAAACAGCTTCTTCTGATTGGTTGTTTTCTCGCTGAAGGTTATTCTGTCATCTCTTTGTGGCTATTTATTTGAAGGTACGACCATATGTCGTATCCGCCCACGCAAAGTCTGCTGTGATTGAGTTAGTCTTTGACCTTGTTCTTTTTTCTCATGACCACGACGCAAACATTGACGTAAATTGCTGTCTACCAATTTGACTAGCACACGGCTCTCACCACAACAGTGCAACATAATGTGACAGTAAAGTTTTAATCTACCTGTTTGAATATCTAGCACTCACCCACTCACTCAGTAATATCTCTTGTTCGAATCCTTTTCTACACTGTACAGTTACTTAGTTAGTTGCTCAACGGTATTTCACTTTCATAGAGTGGAAGGTACGCTTAGTTGATCATTGTCCACAATTGATTGATATCGTCATTTCTGAGCAATTCAACAATTTCCTTGACTACGAATTTTAAATTATTTAACTGTCTTGTTTTCATAGAATGAATGTGTAACTGTAAAGAGTGACACACTTTTGTTTTGCTTTCCTTGAATCTATCTATGCAGTTCAAGTGAAATAAATACTCTTTCAAAAAACAACTTGGCGCAGTTGACGAGGTCGATTGGGCATTAATAATATACAGAAATGGATCACTATAGGTTGTGTGTGTGTAAATAACAAGTATAATCATATAATATGATATTCATTATAAATGATACCTGGTTAAAGGATGCTTTGTTCATCGAACAAAGCATGGAATGGCAATCAAACCTCTACCTCAACTTTATAGACTTTGAGAAGGCCTTCGACAGCGTTGACCGCGAAGTAATTTTGAAACTACTCGAGTACTACGGCGTACCCCAAATATTCATCAACCTTATTCAACAGCTGTACGACAACGGCACATGTCAAGTGATCCACAATGGAAAACTCATCGAGGCGTTTGGAGTAAACACAGGAGTCAGACAAGGGTGCTTGTTATCACCAATGATATTCCTAATTGCGGTGGACTGGATTATGCGTCAGACAGTGAGAAACGAGAAGACAGGGATATCCTGGACCGACGTGAAGAACCTAGAAGACCTGGATTTCGCGGATGGTTTATGTTTGAAGACTTACAAGCGAAAACCGATAAACTGGTCTAAGAAGCAGCAAAGACAGGACTTCAGGTGAACATAGACAAGACGGAGGTCATGAAAATAAACAACCAATCAACAACAACAACAACAGCAGGAGCAACATCCAGCGTCAATCACCATCAACGGGAGGGATTTGAAAGAGGTTACTTCATTCACTTATCTAGGGAGCATTGTCTCAGCTACAGGAGAAACCGACGGACGAGGATGTCAAATCGAGAATCGATCAGGAAGGCGAGAAACACATTCACCAACCTGAAACCAGTCTGGAAATCTTCGTCACTCAACTCAGCATCAACAACGAAATTCGGATTGTCAATACAAACGTCAAGTCAGTCAGTTCTTCTATACGTACGGATCAGAAACTTGGCGGGCCACAAAGAATATTTCCAACAGCCTGTTGCAGACCTTTATCAACAAATGTCTTCGCGGGCTCTATACTCAAGATCAGATGGCCAGCGGAAAGAATCACCAACAAGAAACTATGGGAAGAAACAAAACAAGAATCAATCGCCCAACAAATATGCAGGAGAAAGTGGAGATGGATTGGACACTCGCTGAGGAGGCCGCTGGGTGACATCGCGCATCCGGCCATTGCTCGAGTGGAACCCGTAAGGGAAGCGGTGAGTGGGACGTCCAAGGGTGACATGGAGGAGATCGTGTGAAGAGGAGTTGAAACAGTGTGGGTTAACATGGATGCAGGTGAAAAGTACAGCACAAGACAGAAGCAAGTGGAGGCGTGAAGTTGAAGCCGTATGTTCCAGTAGGGACTCAAGGGAACAATAATAATGATAATCATCATCATCATCAGTCCCTTGACTTTCGTCGTGGGGGTGCTATGACAGTTCGCGCTATCAGTCTTCGCCATTCTTCTCGGTTTAATGCTATTTTCTGTAGCGTATCCAAGGGCATTTCAGTCCACTCTTTTATGTTGTCAAGCCAGCTCTTATTCGGTCGACCTCTGTTTCGTGCTCCTCCTACTGTGCCTTGTAGAATCGTTTTGGACAATGTGTCATGTCTAACCGTGTGGCCGAACCATTGTAGTTTCCGTTTCTTTACGATTGAAAGGAGTGGTTCCTGTTTTCCTGCCAGTCTATGGGCCTGGTGTAAGACATATTCATTAGTTTTCCTTTCAAGTTAACTTATTCCTAGGATCCTTCTATAGCTTTTGTTTTCGAAGGCTTGTATTCTTCTTTCTGTCTCTGCATTCAGGGTCCAGCTCTCACATCCATATAGGAATACAGAGAGGACCAGTGACGAGTAGAGTTTCATTTTTGCTGAGACGCTGATATTGCTCTTCCATATTTTCCCTAACTTGGACATGGTGGCAGAGGCTAGGTTTAGTCGAATTTTTATTTCCTTAGTGGACCTTCCATCTTTTGTTAGGGTAGACCCAAGGTATTTGAAAGTTTCAACCTCTTCTAATACATGTCCATCAAGTCTGATACATCTATCTGAGTTGTTTCCTCCGTTAATGAGTATTTTGCTTTTTTCTGTGCTGATTTCCATGCCCACAGATTTGGTTGCAACATCAAGTCTTGAGGTGAGGTCCTGAACTTGATCAATGTTTTCCCCAATGAGGGCTATATCATCAGCAAATCTGAGGCTGTTTTAAGTAGTTTGTTCATTCGATAAATTATTTTATCTGACTGAGAAAAATTACTACCACTCATCATATATTTGTTCATTATTATTATTATTATTATTATTATTATTATTATTATTATTATTATTATTAATACACTTATTGCTATCACTAGCATAGAGAACGAAAGAAATAAGTCCAATGTTTGGTATTCTTCATACCTCATAGATCAACAGATAATAAAAAGGCCATTTTATTTACATATATTGATTAGTACACAATTTTGTATACTATGTCTAATGTTTGTATGAAGTGAAACATTTAGTTGCTTAGCGACATTGTTTTGTTAACAGAATGAAATAGAAAAATAAATGGGTATTACAGTTTGTAAAATACTAGCAAAATGCAAATAACTAAG